GCAATTCTCCTGCCTCAGCCTCCTGAGTAGCTGGGATTACAGGCACGTGCCACCATGCCCAGCTGATTTTTTGTATTTTTAGTAGAGACGGGGTTTCACCGTGTTGACCAGGATGGTCTCAATCTCTTGACCTCGTGATCCACCCGCCTCAGCCTCCCAAAGTGCTGAGATTACAGGCATGAGCCACCGCGCCCAGCCAAGAATTCTTTAGGTGTGGCTATTTTAACATTTCACCAATTAATGCAGTAGTAATGAGTAATTCTTTAATGTAGTAATTAATTTTTATTCTTTTGACTTAAAGTTCAGGGTACAGCCCCTGCCCTACTTTGTTTTTAAATCTATTAGAAATCACAAGACATCGTGCTTATGACCTGGGCGATATTCTCCTCCTGAACGTAACCCCTGCCACCTGCTGAGTGTGCCGAATGAGACCATCCAGAGAGGCCCTTGTCCTCTATATTCTCAAGCCCTTGTTTGTCCCTGATGCATGCATAAGTACTCCATTCACAGACTGAGATACAGATGGCATGAGCCACCCTTTTCTTCCCTTGTGAATGTAGTACAGCAATCAAAAGATAAGACTATAGTCACAGAAAGCAATGACTTTCAAGGCGCCCACAGGGCCCTTTCTGTCTGACTATATTGTTTTTTTAAAATTTCAGATGGTTGCCACTTTTAACTTTTAATAAAATATTGTTGGCCAGGCGCGGTGGCTCATGCCTGTAATTCCAGCATTTTGGGAGGCCGAGGCAAGATCACCTGAGGTCAGGAGTTCAAGACCAGCCTGACCAACATGGTGAAACCCCGTTTCTACTAAAAATACAAAAAAAGAATTAGCCTGGGCATGGTGGCGGGCCAGTAATCCCAGCTATTCAGGAGGCTGAGGCAGGAGAATGGCTTGAACCCAGGAGGCGGAGGCTGCAGTGAGCTGAGATCGCGCCACCGCACTCCAGTCTGGTCAACGAGAGCAAAACTCCATCTCAAAATAAATAAATACATAAATAAAATATTGTTTTATCCCTGTAACACACTTCAGTAAGTCTTCACTGTCTTTGAATCAAAGAGAAAAGATTATTGAATGAAACAGAAGGTCTGAATGAATGTGTGTCCTGTTGCTTCTGTGCTTTGAGAGCCTTTCTCCCAGGCCGTTCACATTCCAAACTGACCCTTTATTCTCTGAGATAAATATTTTAGGCTCGAATAATTTTAAGTCAAAGTGCATGATCCGTGTACACCATAGCCGCACGGCTGTGCTGGGGACACTGACCCTGTGCCCTTCCGTCCTGAGGGCTCCACAGTGGCCGGCTGGACTGAGAGGCTCTGCCCAGGTGGTCCACACACGGGCTGGGCAGCACACCTCAGCCTCCCGCCTTCTCCATCCCCTCCCCGGGGCAGGACACCCTGCTCACTCAGTGCAGGTCTGTACCAGCCCCTCCCTTCACACCCAGGTGTGCGGGAGAACAAAGACACTGCTGTCTGCTCCTCTGGGTGGCCTCCGCCCTTTGCGTGGTGACAGATAGGAACTTGAAGAAAGTTTGTGGAGTGAATAAGTATATATTTATATTACAACTATTGCGAAAGAAAAATGGTACTAAGAAACCCTTGTTAGCTCTTTTAGCCGTGAAGCCTGAGGGGAAGAGGTCAGGAGCTGTGGTCCCAGGGCCAGCCGCTAGCTGCGGCGCACCCCCAGGCCACCCTGGGCCCTCTCCTCTCCCCAAGCCCAGTGCAGGCCACCAAGTGCCCCTGCGGAGGGGCCCTTCTGTCCCAGCCTTGCCGGCAGCTCCACCTTGCTCTGCTCTTGCTGGGTGCGAACAGACACGTGTGAAGAGCTTCTCGCTTCTGTCCCCACCTTCCTTCCCTGCGCATCCTGCCTTCCTCCCTCTAGCGCCGCCCCAAGTTACTGGCAGCCCCCTCGGACCCTCTTTCCAGGGGCTTTTCGGTTTTCCCCGCATTCACACGACTTCTCTGCCTATGGGTGTCTCATGACCCTCTAGAGAGGCGACTTCTTCCTCCCTCATTCTTTCCTCTCCCCTCGGGCATCTAAGTAGCAGGAACCCAACTGTCCAAAGTTGATTTGGGAGCAGCCGCCTGCGTCTTGCGCCCTTCTAAAATAATCTAGGAACGGTCCCCGTAACATAAGCCGCCGCCTGATGAAATTGGCCAGTCCTCAGCCACGCCCTGCGGCCAGCGTGAAGGGGAGAAGAACGGGGTATTCCTGGCACTGTCAGGTGTCTGCGGGCAGCAATCTTAGTTAATTCTCAAAACCCCGGAAGACCCAGAAATGAGGCGCTGATAGGGACCTAACCTGTCCACTACCCTCGCCCGGTGGGACTGAAACCCTTGTCTTTGGGCTGCTCTATCAGTTTATTTCCAAAAAGGCCTCCCACACCTGAGAAGGGACATAAAAAGCTGGTCTCGTTGCCAGCCTGATTTCTTAAGTCTCAACCTTGGTAAATCTAATACGCTTATGACCTCTTCCAGGGAGCTGGGAATCTGCAGAGATGCTCTGTTCTCTACTGCACTAATTTCAGGCTTCCCACAGCCAGTGCCTCGACCGGCTCCCAGGGGAATCCAGGAAGCCCCAGGCGCAGGGCAAAGGATGGGGCGGGACTTGGGCATCTTACCTGCTCTGTGGAAGCTGCTGGGAGTGCGGCCGCCTCCGGCTGCGGAGAAGGAAAGCAACGGTTTGGGCTCCTCATCCGCGACGCGGGTTTCCCTGCGCCCCCGAGGCCTCCCGTGAGCTCCTTGCGGGGACAAAGCCAGCGCCAGCAGGAGGAGCGCGGGCAGCTGGGCGCCGGGCTTAGGTAGCCGCATGTTCGGACGCCGGGAGGAGAGAGCGGGAGGCTCGCGGAGGATCCTGACGCCAGCCGGGAGAGTGCGCAGCCCGGGAGAGGACCAGCGGGACGCAGAGCGCGGCTACCCGGCCGGCCGCGGTCCTCACCGCGCGCCAACCCGCCTGTGCGTCCGGGGGTTGGCTGGCGCTGCACTGGGACCCGGCCCCCCGCGTGCGGTAGCTTACTTACGCGCCGCGGGGTGCGGGGGCGGGAACGGGAGGCGGTGCCTGGGGACGCAGTGTAGTCCCCCGGGATGAGGGCGTGTCCTGTTGTGCAGGACCCTCTGAAGTCCGCGCCGCCTGCCCCAGCTGACCCCAGCCTTGGACTCAGCGGGTCTCAGGGCTTCCTATGCAACGCCTGCCTCGGACCCGGACCCCGGGCTCGCTCTCTGGGCGCCGTTCCTGGGAGGACCCACTAGGGTACCCGCCGCATCGCCCCAGCGGTTCTCCCCGGGCTCTGTCTCCCGCCCTCGCCTGCTCTTCCCGCTCAGCCTGGGTGTCCGTCACGGCTTCCCTTGGCGGGCGGGGTCTGTAGAACCCGCGACGCCTAGGTCCGGACGGAAGAAGACAGCGCAGGGGTGCGGCCAGGATGAGCGGAGATTGCGGTGCCTTGGGCGCAAAGGTGCGGGTGCGCTCTCCTGCCGAGCTCCTGCTTGCTCAGGAATTCTGGCCACGCCGTCGCGCCCGCCGCCCCTGCCCCAGCCGGGGAGGCCCGACCTGCCCTCTGGGCGCGGCACCGCGTTCTCTCCCGGGTTGGGGAGCGGAGAGCCGAGAAGGTCGGGGGCACCGGGACAGACGCCCAGCTTCCCTGGCCTCCCTGGTGGGGAGTGGCGGGTTCCGGTGCTTCCCCAGGTGAAATCGCCAAGGTTGACCAGTGTGCCCAGGAAAGCAGCCGGCTGGGTTTTTCAAGTTAGGGAATTCTTCTAACTCTAACTCTAAAGAGTTTTAGTGTTAACAACTTACAAAATGAAATTAAGGCTAGTTCTGATTAAAATAAAGCGAGCATCTCTGATGAAACCGCGCTCTGTAAACTGTTGTGGTTTTAGTCATTTCAGCCGTCTGCTTTATTGCTTTATATTAAGTATATTGAAAAATGTTGAAATTGCTCTCTAATCAATTGACTACTAATTATCTCCTCATATGCAAAGTGCAAATAGGTGGAAAGAAGACGACGGCAGGAATAACTAAGGGGACTGAGGCTTCTTACCCCTTAGGCATCGCCCAACGTTAAATCACTCTACAAAAAGGGATCTTGTTGGTCACAGATCCTGAAAAATAACCTCAACTCCTTCCAATAGTTTATCTAGGCTTGGCATTTCCAACATGCCTAAGAAATTGCAGAAACAAATCAAGCTTTGCAGGAGCCCTGTGAAATCGTGCCTTTGGATGAAGCTCTTTTGAGGAAGTTGTGACACAGGTGAAGACTGCTCCTTCCAATCATTTCACTGTTAAGCAAGCATAGGAATCTGGTATTTACTAAGCAAACACAGTAGTGTAAGAGAATGGCTTCCACCGTGGGAGACGAAGAAGAGTCTTCCTAGAAAAAACAGGTTAAGAATAGAAGTTCACAGACATTGACAGGCACTTCAAAAATTAATTTTAATTAGAAAATTAAAAGTTAAGAACTAGTCCGAAAAACGATGAAGAAATGCAGTCTGAAATAATGCTGAGGAAGAAGTGATAATGAAACCATGACAAATGGACTTTATCAACCATCTGTCAGAGCAAAAGACAGCAAAAACTGGAAGCTGAATGATTTCTCTCTTCCTATACTGAAAACTAGAGGAAATCAACAAAGCAATGAAGTTTTCAAGCCTAACAGTTTGGGGTCACTTTGATGTCATTAGCCATCAATGTGATGCTAATTATCCATTTCTACACATTAATAAATTAGCAAGTGTTACTGAGGATTTGGTGGTGGGCACCTGTAACCCCAGCTATTCCGAGGCTAAGGCAGAGAACTGCTTGAATCTGGGAGGCAGAGATTGCAGTGAGCTGAGATTACACCAGTGCACTTCAGCCTGGGTGACAGAACAAGGCTCCTTTAAAAAAACAAACAAAAAATTTCAAAAGCCACAAGTATTGAAAAATCCGTTGCTGCATCTCCCCAAAATATTGGTAATATGAACTTGTATTAGTCAGTGTTCTCCAGAAGGACAGAACTAATAGGATAATATACACGCACACATATATATCCTGATGTGTTTGTGCATATGTACGTATATATAAGGGAGCTTATTAAGTATTAAATTACACAATCACAAGGTCCTACAATAGACTGTCTGCAAGCTTGAGGAGCAAGGAGAGTCAGTCCAAGTCTCAAAACTGAACAACTTTGGATCCTGATGTTAGAGGGAGAAAGATATAAGCTGGGAGGCCAGGGCAGTCTCACCTTTTCACATTTTTCTGCCTGCTTTGTATTCACTGGCAGCTGATTAGATGGTGCCTTCTAGATTAAGGGTGGATCTGCCTTCCCCAGCCCACTGACTCAAATGTTAATCTCTTGGCAACACCCTCACAGACACACCTGAGATCAATATTTTGTAACCTTCAATCCAATCAAGTTGACACTCAGTATTAACCATCACAAAAATAAGATTATGTCATAAAGCCAGAGAGTTGATATACCCCTGAGGTGGGAGAGTAAAGGTATGTTGCTGGCCTTGCCAGCTGAAGGCAAATTGCTTCTGGTGGGCCTTATGGACAGGAATGGAGAAAAAAGCATTTGCCAAGGCAATGGCTGCATACCGGGTACTAGGAGATGTGTTAATTTGCTCAAGCAATGAAACCACATCTGGTACAGCAGCTGCAGTTGGAGCCACCACGTGGTTAAGCTTATGATCATCCACTGTCGTTCTCCAAGATCCATCCATCCGTCTTCTGCACAGGCCAAATAGGAGAGTTGAATGGGGATGTGTTTGGAAGAAGCACTACCCCTGCATCTTTCAAGTCCTTGATGGTTGCACTAATCCCCTCAATTCCCTCAGGGATGTGATATTGTTTTTGATTTACTATTTTTCTAAGTAGAGGCAGCTCTAATGGCTTCCATTTGGCCTTTCCCACGATGATAGCCCCCACCCTACCAGTCAGGGGCCAATGTAGGGGTTTTCCAGCTACTAAGTATGTCTATACCAATTAAGCATTCTGGCACTGGGGAAATGATCACAGGATGAGTCTGGGGACCCACTGGACCCATTGTAAGTCAGACCTGAGCTAAACCTCCATTAATTACCTGACCTCCATAAGCCCCTGCTTTAACTGGATGACCACGTGACATTTTGTGTCCCCTGGAATCCTCGGTAGCTAAGAGCCAGTGTTCAGTAGTCCCCGAAATGTCTGTCTATTTCCCTTTCCCCAATGCACAGTTACCCTGGTAAAAGGCTGGAGGTCTCCTTGGGGAAGGATGGGGAAAAGATTCACTACATAAATTGTTGATGATGTAGTGGGGTCCTTCCTCAAGGGGACTCAGTCTCCCCTTCATTCAAGGGGTTCTGGGTTTATAAACTGTCTCAAGTCTGGAAATTAATTGATGGGCCATGATTCTAATTAGTAATTCAAATTAGTCTTTTGTCCATTCAACCTAGAATTTTTCTCCTTATATAAATTAAGTAGGAATTTATATAAGCAGGCTTCCTATCAGTTTCACTTCTAGGAACACTGATTAATTAGCCAATGCCAGAGCTCTACATGAGTCAGACTGTTCCGATTGCCACTTTGCTTCTGCTGGCCATTACGGTAGCTATACCCATCTTGCCTTTGATGGTTGAGTGCCGCTAGTTGGCCCCTGCCTCCTCGAGATCCAATTATTCCCATTGTATTTAAATTTTGTAGTTGAATGACTGTGGTTCCTACCATCAGATCTGACATATAGAAAAGAGCAATTACAGGGCTCTTCAAAGGCACTGCCCTCACAAATCTATTTTGCAAGGCATTGTTCGAGGTTATATCTTCTGGACCCTCCCAGCTGGGATGAGAGTAGGTCTAAAGTGACTCATCCATTCCACCATCCCAATCTCCCTAAGCCTTTAGATCCCTTCCTCTACATTAAAGCAAGGGAGATCAGACATTTCCAGCTTGCTCACAGTGAGCTATCTTTTAATCCATATTTCAGCTAACCAAGCAAATAAACTGTTAGAACCTTTCTTAACTCTCCAAGCTGCAACATTAAAAGCAGAGTCCCTACTTAGTGGACCCAAAGCAATAAATTCAGCCTGATCCAACTGTATGTTTCTTCCACCATTATCTCATACCCTTAATGTCCGTTTCCATGGCTGTTCTCCAGATTTCTGCTTATATAGATTACAGAACTCAAACAGTTCTTTTCGAGTCGGGCACATCGCCTCATGGGTCACACTCAACCTCACTTCTAGGAGCCCACCAGGACTTTAGTCTAATTATAGGTGTAAAAGCAAATAAGGGTGTTGGGGGTGGCTCCTGAGGAGAATCAACATTATTTTGCCTTTCACCTGTCTCAGGGGAGGCCATCACTGCTGTCTCTGGCAGCACAGGGTCTATCTGCTCACACACAGGTGGAAAGGCAGATGGCAGCATGAGTTGGGGTGGGCACGTGGCCACTACTGGGTATGGAGAAGCTTCCTTCTGGCAAAAAAGGTTCATCAGAGTTTACAATCTCTGGGTCAGGGTCCTCCCACACGTCCCCATTCCAAGTTGCAGGATCCCATTCTTGTCCGATCAATATCCTCACTTTAACAGTAGACACCTGGCGAGGCCTCGCCTGCACCGGTCCTTACAGGTCAGCCACGCATAGTACAAGCGCTTGTGTCGGTCTTTCCACAATTTCAGCTCTTTCTCTACAGGAGTTAAGACTTTGACTCAGGGAAATCTTAGCAGATTTCAGGCTCAGTATCTGCTTCCGAAGCCAGGAGACAGAATCCCTGAGTTCCTCATTTTCTTTCATCACTTTGTTCACTAAACTTAGGAGCAAGCGGCCAGCTTCATTATGTTCCTTGGGTCTCCACATATGGTCAAAGGTAGTATGTACAGAGTCACCAAACTCCTTGCCTCTCACGAGTGGTGAATCAGGAGTGTCACATGCATTTATTTTGCTTAATTCTCTAAACAGTTCAAGCCAAGGACTATCAGTGTTCTCCATACCATTAAAGGTAAAGTCCTGGCCGGGCGTGTTGGCTCGCGCCTGTAATCCAAGCACTTTGGA